CAGAAGGAAGAGGGTGAGCTTGTAAAAGGTACAGCCTGAGGCCTGAGTGTCTGGGAAAGAAAGAGTGAGCAAGGGAAAGAGGGTAAGAGGTGAGTCAGAGAGGTGGGCAAGAGGGACTGTAAGCACTGAGACAGATGAGGACTTTGGCTCAAAGGGAGGTAGGAAGTACTGAGAAGGTTCTAAGAAGACATGGGTTTGATCAGGTTTCCCTTTTGGAAAGGCCCTCTGGCTGAGGGTGCTGAGGATGGAGACTGGACTTTAAGAGAGAAGGACACTGCAGGAGACCCAGTGAGGAGGTTGAGACAACCCAGGTGTCCCGGAGAGAGATGACAAAACTTTGGCCTGAGGTAGTGTAGCCAAGAGCAGAAGTTGGTTTCCCAATCTGTCCAACAGGGAGTTGAACAAGACGCCTTTAGGACCTTTCCCGCTTTTGAGTTCAGTAATTTAGCGAATTACCTTGGCACACACTAACTAGCCACTCTTCTTCTCTAACAATCTCTGGGTTTCTCCTCCTAGATTCTGGGTCTGATCAGAACTCAGTGATCTGCAGCTCCGATTAGGGACACCTCCCCACCCCCATCACTGCCAGCCCCACTTCCTGTCTCCACCTCCCAGGGACAGATGGGTGGGTGGCAGAAGGCAGTTGGGCCTTGAGGCTTGCAGTGCCCCAGGGGAGAAAATTATCTGAGAGTATAACCCCTCTCTGCCTTCCAGATCTTGAGTTAAAAGCCCCAAATGTCACAGTTCCAAGGGGCGGAGGTTGGATAGTGCCAAGAGACAGGGACGGTGAGATGCTTTTTGGCCCTGTAGCTGCTGCACAGGGTCAGAGACCTGGGGTGCCGAGAACTCCAGCACTGGCAGCAGGAAACCACTTGGGCTGAGGCTGAAAAGTGGTGACCCTCAGCCCACGTCTGACCCACTGACTTAGTCACTGGCCTGGAAAGTGCTAGAGAAAAATTGGAGCCAGTGTTTAAAATTCAAGATATTATAGTAAAATTGAGATTTCTGACTTTTCTTAAATAATTGGAACATCTGACCATACTGATTGCCTGCCCATCCCTGGGTTACAACACCCAGTGAGAGCTAAGTAGCAGCTGTCCCCATTATTATTTTATTTTATAATGGGCAAATATATACACATGATTGCAAAATAAATCGTAAGGCAAATAATGATGTTTCCCACCCATTCTTATCCCTTCTTCCCAGTGCCCCTTCAGGAATCTCTTATTTTCCTATGTAAATGTCAAAGGTTTCTTCATGCATATACAAACATAAAAAATAGAGATTTTTTTTTTTTTTTTTGTACTTGGAGCTTGACCCAGGGGTGCTCTGCCACTGAGCTGCAAACCAAACCCTGTTTTGTTTTGTTTTTTCAATTGTTTAATTCAAGACAGGGACTTGCTAGGTCATTCAGGCAGGGTTCAAACTTTCGATCCTTCTGCCTCAGCCTCTCAAGTGCTTGGATTAAAGGCATGGGCCACCATACCCAGTTTAAAATAGAGATTATTATTATAATCCCCTTTTTACCAAGCCTAACTCCTGTTCTGTCCCTGGCTTTTCCCTTCAAATGCCTTTCTGTATTAGGACACGGAGTGTTTACTGCCCCAGGCCCTTCTGTTGTCAGGGGCTCATGGTTTATTTAGCTAGTCTCCTGATGGGCATTTGGGTCACTCCCAATATTTGCTGTTATAAACAATGTTCTCATGCATAGTTTGCATGGATGCAAATATTTCAGTAGGAACTAAAGAAAAATTATTGAGAACTGGCCCAAGCAGAGGGCGCAGCAGGCAAGCACTGAGCCCTCAACAGGACCCCTAAGTGAGGCTAAGTAAGGGAAGATGATGAAGACTATTTCTGAGTGATCTCCAATGTAGTCCATGCACCACGTCTTGGGGATGAGGCAAAGGTTCCCAGATTTGCCTCTGTCACTTGCTAATAAGGTACTTCTCTCTGGGGCTCAGTGTCTCTGTCTATAAAATGAGAAGGGCTTAGGGAGCCGGATGAGCTCTCAAAGGGCCTGTCCAGTTCTGACCAGCTGTGGCCCCCTTCTCCCTCCATGAAAACCAGTCTCAGCCTCTCTTAATCTTTTTTAAAAAATTTTTAGGCAGGGTCTTACTATGTAGTCCAGGCTAGCCTTGAACTGAACACATGATCCTCCTGTCTCAGCCTCCAGAGTGCTGGGATTATAGGTATGCACTACGGTACTCAACTTTCTCAGTTCCACTGCAGAGACATTGCCCAGGCTGGCCCTATCCCCACACTACTGGAGTACCATCCATACATCCTGTTCCAGTCAGAATCACTAAACTTGTGGGTCACTCAGAACATATCAGTCCAAATTCCTTCAAGGCAGAATCCCCTCTGCCGTACCCCTAAAAGGTGGGTCACCACTGTACCTGACTCACACTTTGGACCCACTATCAGATCCTTCCTTGATGCCACTTCCTCTAGTCATCTAAACTCTAGAACAGAGTTCCTGAATGCCAGCTTTGCTACTTCCTGGCAAATGGTCCTGTGACAGCACTTCCTTTGGGCTCTGTTTCTACTCAAATATTGGCTGGTTTGAGGATAAGAAGTGGTACTATCACTAAAGTTCTTAGTATAGCTGCTGACACTCTGATGGGCTTAATAATTCTGTAAGTCATTGCCCCACCTGAATATTTGCCTTTATAAAATGAGAATAATGGAACCTATATGGGAGAGTTGACCACTCATCCATCCATCCATCCATTCATTCATTCAGTGATTGTTATAGAATACCTCCTGAGTGCTCAACACAGTACTAAGAGATTTGGTGAAGAAAATAGATGCCTTGTCCCAACCCTCATGGAACTCCCAGGCAATTCCAAACAGACAAACATAAGAAGATAAATTCCCAGTGCCCTGACTTTAAGGAAAAGACTAAGGTGTTGGCGAGCTCGTAACAGGTGAGTGTCAGAAAGACTTCTCTGAGGGATAGGGACTAGGTCACAGCTGGGTAGAAGATCCAGAAGGGCTTCCTGTGAGAAGCATCACCCCAGTTATTAATTCTCAACAACTATATTCACAACAGCCTTAGGAGGAAGGCATTGGTTTTGTCCCCTTTTACTTTTCTGTACAGCTAAGAGAAATTAGGTGACTTACCCAAATATCATGGAGGCATGAAGAGATGGATGAGTTTCAAACCCAGATTTTCTGGCTCCAAAGTATCAGACCTAAAAACTTGTCTTCTGTTGTGTGTTAGAACAGGCCAATCTTGGGACTAAAAGCGCTGCTTCCATTCGGGTGGGAATCTACCAGTGGTCCTCTGTCTTTACCACTGATGGCTCTGTACTTTCCATATATCTCCCTGCCAAAGGTCGTAGGACAGAAAAAGACAGAGATTCTCCTTTTTGAATCACACTTCAAAATTCAGACTTCCAGACCACCTGACACTCCCTCCAATCTAAACATGGGTTGTCAGCCTTGAATCCAGTCTGGAAAACTTCTTTAGTCCCTAATTCCTCTCCCTCTGTTTCCAGTTTTAGGCAACAGATGATATCCCAACATTCTAAGCATTACTGAGACCAAAACAGTCCCCAGACATGAAGGGGATGCCATGCTGCAGGTCTGCAGATGGCTGCTCTTTCCTGGCCCAGGGCAGCTGTCTTCCTTCATTTTCCCTTTGTGCCTCCTTCCTCTTTTCCTCCTCTCCTTTTCTGCTTCCCTTGAGAAGTGCCAAAGTCTATCCTGAAGCCAGATGAAGGGTTTTAATTTGGCTTCGCACTTACTGCGTGACTCTGAACACAATTAATTCACTTTTTTGTGACTCAGTTTCTTCATCTATAAAACAAGGAGAAATGTGAACTATCTCACAAATTTTCAGAATGAAATAAGTTAGTAAATGGGCAGTGCTTAGAACAGTGGCAGTCAAAGAGTTTGCATAATAAATGCCCTGAAACATTCAGAGTTAGAGGGGGTGGGGTATGACATGTAAGGGACTCTACTCTCTGGGGTCACTATTCTAATCCCCCTCTGGTCTCTAGGCTGCTTCTCTGTGATCACTTTTCTATTCTGACTGCTGATTTTCTTTCTAAACTGTAACATGACCATTGCTCAAATTTTGCAACAGTGGGGCCGGGGGATTTAGCTCAGTGGTTCTGGCGGCTGCCTCGCAAGCGCAAGGTCCCGAGTTCGATCCCTGGTACCCCCCCCAAAAAAAAATTGCAACAGTTCCCCACTGCCTGCTGGATAAAGGCCACCTCCTGGCGCCTCAGGATCTCACCCTTCAGACTCTCCAGCCCCATCTTTCCATCCTCCCTGGGTCTGTGATCTAGACTTCTTGGAATAATGAGTCCTCTGGTCTTGGACGCTTGCTTTTCCCTCTTTCTGGTGTTTCCTCCCAGCCCTTCCCTCTTGGGATTGCCTTCTTCTCTACCAGGGCTGTGGCCAGATGAAAGCAGTGGGGCCAGGGCAGGGGCAGTGGGGGGGGGCACAACTCTTGGAGCTGCCTCCCAACGAAGACAATAAGGAAAGGAGCTTCTCAAGATCAAAGGAGGGAGTGTAACAATAAGTGAACACTCAGGAAACTATAAAGTGGCGCGTTTGTACCAAGCGATCGCTAAAAGGTTATTGGGGGTCCTGCCCAAGCAGCTGGTCCCCCACCCTGGCCTTCCACCCAGGTCGCTGCAGTGGTGAGGGGGAACAAATGGAAGAGGAGAGGGTGAGGAGTGGGCCATAAAGAAAGAAGTGGAGTCCGGGGGGAGGTGAGAGACAAACGCTTGTGATTGGGGCCCCACGCCTCCAAGGAAGGAGGGAGAGGGTGGCCTGGGATGCTGTCCCCTCGCTGGCCCCCGTCCCTTCCCAGGGGGGACCACAGGCCGGGTGGGGCGGCGCCGTGAAGAATGAATCATTGAAGAGGGGAGGAGGAAGAAGAAAAGGAGGTGGAGGAGGAGGAGGAGGAGAGAGCCGCCCGCGCAGGGTCCTCCCCGCCCCGCACCCTTCGCCGCCCGGAAGTCGCTCCCGCCTCCTGCTCCGCCAACATGGCCGCGAAGTCGGATGGAGCGGCGGCCGCGGCCGGCCCGGGGCCCGAGGGGGCGGCTGGGGGGCCCCGGGGCGGTGCCGGCGAGCCCGGGGAGGCGGTGGCGGGCCCCGAGGGCCCGGGGGTGTCCGCGGCGGGCGGCACGGGGCCACGCTACGAGTTGCGCGACTGCTGCTGGGTGCTGTGCGCGCTGCTCGTGTTCTTCTCCGACGGCGCCACGGACCTGTGGCTGGCGGCCTCCTACTACCTGCAGGGTCAGCCCACCGTCTTCGGCCTCACGTTGCTCTTCGTGCTCCTGCCCTCTCTGGTAGTGCAGCTGCTCAGCTTCCGCTGGTTCGTTTACGACTACTCGGAACCCGCGGGGACCCCGGGACCCGCCGTCAGCACCAAGGACAGCGGCATCGGCGCCCCCGCCATCGGCACCAAGGACAGCGCCACCGCCTTCAGGACCGACGAAGGCGGCCCCGAGCTGGGTCCCGGGCCCCCCTCCGTCAGCTCCTACCGTCGCCGCTGCTGTCGCCTCTGCGTCTGGCTACTGCAGACCTTCATCCACCTCCTGCAGCTCGGCCAGGTCTGGAGGTAGGAAGAGCAGGTGGAGGGAGCGGAATCCGAGGAGTGGGGGTGACAAGGAGCTGCCTGCCACCCCAGCCCTGCTCTGACCTTTCCAAGACCCCTCCTGGCCTGAACTCCGCCCCGCCCCACCCCATTGCAGCTTTGATTTCTTTTTAGTCAGCTCCTTCTGACCTCTGCCCCCCACCCCATCCTTCCCAACCCACAGGGAGGGGATGGGCCAAGAAGTAAGAGGAAGAGATTCTCCTCAGGGTGTGTGAGTGAGAAGGACCCAGGGCTTGTGAGGATAAGTGTGGGGGCCACGGGACTTCCTCCAGCCCTAACCCTCCCTCTCTGTGTGCCGAGCCTGAACTTGGGAAAGAGCTCAGAAGTCCTTCCTTTCTCTCAAAGAAGCTCAATTTCGAATTGCAGCCCATTCCCAACCTCTCAGGAGAGACAGAATTTGAGGCAGCTAAGTGACTATCCCATCTAAACTTCAGCTTTTTGAGAAAGGGTATGTGGGATCCAGCTGGGAAGGTTTATGGCTTCTTTCATTGCCCTCTTCCTCCCAAAGGCCCAAGGGGACTTGGAATCTTGAATCTGACATCAGATGACCACTAGCTGCCCTTTAATCCTAGGACAGTACAGCAAAACTGAGGCTTTGTTCAAGCTGCTCACTTTCAGGTTTCTTCCTTTGCCAGGACTGAGGGTGCCTGCTGTGCTGAGTTAATTGGAGAAAGGGGGAATTCTAAACCTAGGGCTTCTCTTGAATCTGAATTGCTCTAGTACTTTGAGCTCTACTGTGCAGTGACAAAATGAATCCACTTACTATATGATTGTAGCCAAACCTCCTTCTCCCTCTACGTCTGTTTATTCTGCTGTAAAATGAGGGGGAATCTCTACTCTTCTCATCTCATTGGCTTACTGTTACATTTTTCTTACCTGTTGGAATGGTCAGGAAAGAGAAAGTCTGTCCCAGAACCCTGCAGACTGAAACATATTTTGGGAATGTAATGGATTGTGATGATTATAACAGATGTGGAAGCATGGGAAAATTCATTCTAGAGATATAAAGGGTGATCGCTGCTGTTGTTGTATTTATTCTGCTACTTGTTAATGTAGTCTGCCTAACTCAGAAGATCCAATTCTGGGCTGAGAGTTGGAAAAAGGACACCCAGGATTTGTTCCAACTGCTCACTTGCTGTGTCACACTTTCTGTGTTGTTGAGTCTCTTTTTGCCTTGGTTTCCCCATTTATGTCTGCCAAGATGATCTGTATTTCCACTTAGTTTGCCTTGGGGGAAAAAAAAAGGAGTGGAGCACTATCCACACAAGGTAGTATTATTATTATTATCTTGACATATAAAAATATTCTTGTCTACATCCAGGAACTAATCTGCATTTATCATTCTGTGCCTGAGTGGACAGATGGTGAAAGTTATTTTTAGGTTCTGAAATGGTAACTTCCTATTCTTGGTAGCCAAAGCTTCATCCCCCTTTCCCTCCAGCCTAAAATGGGCCAGCTGCCCCATAACTCACTGGCTATCCTCCTCCCCATTCAGAATCCACTTACAAGAAGTTAATAGCTAATAGATCTCTTCTTTCTTGAACATAGACCTAGTTTCCCTCAAGTAGAGCAAAAAATGACCACAGGCAAGGGATATCAAGGGGAGTGGCTGGAAATTGCTAAGGGTCCACTGAGCTCCATGGTTTCTCAGATAAAAGAGTGATTTGCACAATTTGTACCATTCCTCACTTGTTAAGTGAGAAGCTTGAGATGACATGATTTTACAGAAATAACAATTTAATGGCCACAAGTGGAATCTGGCCCATGGAAATGTTTTTTTGTAGTTTATGTAGTATTTGTGTGTGTGTGTGTGCATGTGTGTGCATGTGTGTGTGTGTGTGTGTGTGTGTGTGTGAAAGCCAGGAATTGAGTGTAGGACCTTGCACTTGCCAGGCAGGCACAGTGCCGCTGAGCTAAATCCCTGGCCCTGTGTAGTATTTTTAATACTTAGAGTCCTAGATTTTTTGGGGGGAAAATATCAGTTCTAGAAGTCTCAGGTGTGGAATAACCTAGACAGGGTATGTGTGCTGTAGTTTGTCCACTCTTCCCTTTCATTATACCTGGGCCATTCTCTTGGGCATTTAGTTAGTCATAAGCCTTAATTTACAGTTATATAACAATTATTTTATTAAGCACTCACTTTGTACCAAGCCTACTGGTTGCCTTTCTACCTGCCTTACCTCCTGCACCCCTCCTAATGAGCCTGTCATATGGTTAGTATTATAATTTTTATAATACTAACCACTACAATTTTTTTGAAAGATGAGGGAATGAAGGCTAAGAGAGGGCATCCTTGCCCAAGGTCACACAGTGAGGGATTGGAAGAGCTGGGATTCAAGAGTCTCTGCCTTCAAAATCTGAGTTTAATTTATCCATCTTGTGGTTTTACCACTATAGTGTCCCCCAAACTTGAAGAATTCTGAGTCTGAAATTCCAAGATCCCAGGATGATAAAAGTCAAGCTTCTGTTGCATTGAGATAAGAATGAAAAGAGGGGGAGGGAGTCAAACCACATGGATAAGGATAAGGAAACAGTGTGTATTGTGAAGAAAGTGCTGGGTTGCAGGGGTACTTTTGGGAGACTTACATTTTTATCTTGGTTTGTAAGTGATCTTGGGCTGGGGTTTCCACATCTCTGGGCCTCAGTTTCCCTGTATGTGAAATGAGAAGACTAGATTTGATGACCTTAAAGGGTCAAATATGCTTTTCTAGTACCTCATGATGTCCTAGCATGCTGCTAGGAACCCACCAGCTGCTTGGAACAGGTTAATTAGATTTAGGGGCCTCCTTCTAATACCCCCTCTGTGTCTATGCTGCAGCACTACTCCCCTGTCTCTTAACAAGCCCTGACCTCCAGAGAGGTACTGAAATGAGTTAGCGACCTGCTGTGTTCTTCATTCCCTGCACAGAATAGAGACCACTTAAAGAGAGAGGTGAGGCTGGGGTCTGTGGAGAGCTGGAAAGGGATTACCAACAGCTGACTGTTCTCCTGAATTCAGATTCTGCAGTCAATTCAGGGAGATTTAATGGGAATGGCTACTGGAAGTGAAAAATCCACATTAGGTCACACTAACTAATCTAGAATTCTGGTGCTGGGTACATTATCAGAGTTTAGGTCTCTGGAAATTTTCCCCATAAGCTTTAGATTCTAAAATGACTGAAGGTCTTGCTAAATTCGGGGAAATCCAGAAAAGGTGTATGGAAGTCCCTGGGACTGTCATTCCTGGAAATTAAGCAATGTTGGCACAAGATGTTCGCTTCCCACACTGAGAAGTTTTCGCACACGTTCTGAGTGGTGGGGCCAGGGTAATGAGGAAAGAGGTGTGTCTCAGACCCCTACAGGGTCAAATCTGAGAGGCTGGCCAGTCATTCACCTCCTAATCCCACATAAAGATATTGTTCAACTCCTCAGGCTTGTGCAATGCCAAATCAAAAGTTAAATGCTTTGAGGAGTCAGGTAAATAACACAGACATAGGATATGTGGGGTGTCAGACAAGGGAACACTGTGGGGAAAAGTGACTTAGACAAGAGGAACTGCTACCCAGCTACCCTATCAGTGCCACAAGAAATTAGGGACCCAACATTGTCAAATCTTGATTTCTCAAGAGAAATGGGAAACTGGGATTTTTGTATGAACTCTCCCAATTTTCAACTACTAATTAAGAGTTTTAAAAATAGTACCAACCAAAAGAAATGCATTTGTTGGCCTTTCTTCTTAATAACCTCTGGCAACTTCATAATTGATAAGGCTCTTTTACACAGAAGATGTTATTATTAATCCAGGCATGGTGGCACACACCTATAATCTCAGCTACTTGGAAGACTGAGGCAGGAAGATCATGAGTTCAAGGCCAGACTGGACAATTAAGCAAGACCCTTTCTCAAAAAAATAAGAAAGAAAGAAAAAGAAAGAAAGAAAGAAAGAAAGGAAAAGAAAAAGTCTGGGCATGTACTGGGTTCAGTCTCCAGTACTAAAGAAAAAATGATGTTATTACTTTAAACATAAAATGAGGAAATTCACAAACACTACATACCTACCATGTCCCAGCAGGCCCCTTGTAGGGTGTTCCAGGCATGCAATCTCATCTCATCTTCCCTCTTCTGGCTATTGATACACCCATTTATCAGATAAAGAAGTGAGGCTCAGAGAAGTCAAGTAACTTGTCCAAGTTCACTCATGAGTAAGTCAGGGAGAAGTGATACCTACACAGCTTTGTCTAACTCCCAAGCCCAGTTCTTCCCCTGGTATCACCAGCTGTATTAGGGAATCCCAGAGCAATGTTTCCATGCAGTGACAGATTGAGTCCCTGAGAGAGAGCAAACAGATCCTTTGGTAGGGCACAAATCTGGCTGTGGGCTGATCATCAGCCTGTGTCTTCATTCCTCCCTCCCTCTGCCAACCCTCTGAGCTGCTAAGCCACTGAAGGCTGTTAAGCCAATTAAAGTCCTAACCCTGTCTCCTCTGACCCTGTGGGCAGTGGAGTGGTAAGCCATGAATCCTGCTTTCCCTAATCTTAAACTCATGGGCCCAGCTTTGCCCGGATAAGCATGGTCTGTTAAACCAATTAGTATGAGAGATCTGGCATGGGATTCTTCCCAGGCTGTCAGGATCAGGGCACCTCAAATTGGAAAGGGAGTAGAAGGAGGCAATCAGGCTTTGGGGGTCTCCCTCCAATACCCTCTCCATGTCTAGGCCACAGCACTGCTCCTTCTGCCTGCTAACAAACCCTGACTGAAGAAGTTCTGAAATGAGTCAGCGACCCATGAGTTGTGGAAGTTTGGCTCTGAGTCTCCCCTCTGGGAAGCTACATTCTTGGCATCATGGCTAAGAGCACAGATTCTGGATTCAAATGTTCTCAGTTCAAATCTTGGCTCTACCACTTCCTATATACGACTCGACAAACCACATAATCTCTTATCCCATTTTTAATCCCATAATGGAATCTACTCCCCTCTTGGATTGTTTGGGGTTTAATGAGATCATGTATGCCAAGGATTTAGCAAAGGACTGATTGTATCATTTAGTGTTCAAAAACTATTGGTGATGATTAATGCCATCAGCCTGGGCTTTGTTCCCTGTGGAGTAAAGATTTGTTCACTGAACATGTGGCCATGAGAGGGTAAGAAGCCTCTGAAGCCATAGTGACATGGCAGCCATTTATTTATTCTACAGTCATTCATTCAGCAAATATTTACGGAGTACCTGCTATACACCAGGTACTGTTCCAAGTGCTGAGAAGAGAGTGATGAACAAGCAAAATCTTTGCCTCTTGAAGCTTGAGTCTAATGGTGGAGACCAGTAAAGGAAATGTAATACAGTATATAATATAAACTCTAAAGGGAATGCTAGGGAGGAGGGTGTGGGCCTTTGAGATCAAATGGTCAGGGTAAGCCTCTGAGGAGGTGGCACGCAGGCAGAGGGCTGAATCAGGTGAGTGGGAGCGATGTGGCTGTCTTGGGAAAGGTGTTGCAGGCAAAGGGAAGCAGAAGAGCAAGGTGAAACACAAGTGGCAGAGGCAGAGCAAGAAGAGAGTAGGGGATGATGGGGGGCAGACTGGCAGGCCCCAATCATGCAGGGCCTCATAGGCCTTGAATGGAGCAGGGTGGGGGGGCAGTGACTGAAGAAGGAACAGGTCTTGACCTTTGTTTTGCAATGGCCACTCTGGCTGCTGAGTGGAGAATATCGTGGAGCCACTGGGGGAGGTTGCTATGAAGAGCCAAGTGAGAGCAGGGAGGACTGCACCAGAGTAGTAGCTACCAGATCATGAGTCTGCTTTAGGCTGAACCAGCAGGATCCTTCTTTGGTCAACTTCCCCACTGGGGCCAGATAGTAAATGTTCAGAACTCACTGTCTGGATTTCAGCCATATCTTGCATCTGCTGCTTCCTGTGACTTTGGGCAAGTGGCATAACGTGTCTGTACCTTGACTTCCTCATCCATGAAACAGACACTCTGATAATAGCTCCAGTCTCATGTGGCTGGGGCATATGGCCAATTAAATAATGTATATTTAGCACAGTGCCTGGAACACAGAAGTACTCAACAATTGTGATTAGCCATTGCTACTTGTATTATGATGTATAAATAAAATGAGAAAGGAGTTGGGTTCCACAGTGCTTTTCAAACTCTGTGTCACAGTCCTCTCACCATCATTTCTTACTTTCTTTTGATGATGGTTCCATTTCAAAGATTTTGCTTTGGGTAATCAGTGCCACAGCTGAAACATGTTTACAACCCCTTGAATTTTTGGCAGTGACCCTCTGCAAGGCTCCTGCCTGCTCTGCTTCGCAGGGCTGCTACAGGACACCACACCTCAACACCCACCTCCTCAGAGACCCCTGTCCAGGACATCCTGCACTGCCACCTGCCCTCCTCCCTCTGCCCATCTGGCTGCAACAGGCCATTAGAGCTGCTCCTAACAGACACTCCTAATAGACACAGCGGCGGCAGTTGGGCCCAGCATCCCCCATTTGATCTATAAAGACCACACAGGAGAAGCCTTGGGGATTGGGAGGAGAGAGGGCTGCCAGGAAATGGCTTTGAACCCCAGCAGCTGGAACCAAGTCTCTGGGGAGAGGAGGGAGGCTGTTTGGGATCCACTCTGGCCCCTCCATTCACTACCCTGCCTTTGTTAGGGCATTCTAATTCTTCCTCCTGTGGGAAATACTATGGGCCTCCAGTTATCATCTTCCCTGCCCTCTCCCCCAATCCTGCCTGCAGCCAGGGATTCTGCACCTGGGATCTGACCCTGCCCCTGCCCTCTGGAACCCCAGGGCAACCCTGCTTCCCTGTGCCTCTAGGGCCCGTCCAGTGCTTTAGCCTAGCACCAAGGCCCCTGGCCTCTGCCTTTTCATCTCCTGACTGCTCTAGTCCCACGCTGATCTGCTGCTCCTCCTCCCCAAAATCATACCACGCGTTTCTCCATGCTGAGGGGTTGACTCCTCCAGCAATATCCTTTCCCACTCTCCTCCCCAGGAAATTCTGCACATCTTTCCTTCAAAGCTGAGCTGATTGTCACCTCTTCTGAGAAACTTTCCCTGAACAAACCCACATAGCCACTGCCCCACAGACCCCACCTCCTACCTGCTCAACCAGGCAAATGTGCTTGTCTTTAAAATCTAAAATGGAAATTGTGTGGCAGTTTTTTGTTTATTTGTTTGTTTACGGAAGAGCTATATACACTCTTGTTGAAACCTTGGACAATATGAAAAAGAAAGACTCCCTTCAACTCTATCTCTTGGGGGTTCAGGAGTGAGGTTAAGGGAGATTTCTACTTACTAATTAGATATTTCTTATATTGCTTGAAGGTTTTACTTGTGCTTTTTAATTAACCAAGAAATACATATCCACCTGGATTTAAAAAAACAGATATTACTGAAAATTATGGTTGTCATTTATTATGAGTTAGATTAGATGATTGATCTTCATGGCAGTCCTGCCATGTAGGGAATGTGGTGATGAAGAATAAGGACTGTGGAGACAAAACTTAGCTTTTCCACTAATAAGCTGTGTGGTCTTGAGCAAGTCACATAACCTCTCTGGGCCATGGCTTCCTCATCCATGAAATGGGGATAATGGTCCCTGTGAATGGCCAGTGTTCAGGCTTATTGAATTCATACATGGGACTGTTTTGCACAATACTCAGTGCAT